CTCTCTCTGAAAAGCAATGGAAAAAATATCCTCAAGTGAGGATTAAAAAAAAAAAATTAATAAAGCTCTTACCTCAAATAAGCGTAAGACTTTGGCCAATGCACCAACTTCTTCTTTGAGTGAGAAAATCAGTGATATGGCACCATTCTGATTGGAGTTGTCTTCAATATAGCTTGTTTCCTACAGGATTAAACACACTTGGTTAAAACACTTTCCATGGTTTAGCAATTTATTCCTGTGGACCTCCAGGGAAGAGGCCATCATGAACTCTTTCTTCTAGTTAAGCCTTGGAATATAGTGAGCTACATGTACTCTATATAGAAGTATATAGCATGGTGGGGGAAAAGTAAGTCAAGGGCAGTGATATTTTCAGTAGTGCTCCTAGGTCAGATTTTAACTTTAGGAAGTTTCAATTATTCACTGGTGTCACCAGTCACCCTATAGATCCAATATCTTTCAATGAGTACCTACCAAATGCCAGGTAATCGGGCTCTAAAAGATATAAAGATGAAGAAGCTCAAAATTTAAAAAGATAAAATATTTTAAATAGAATATTAAGAGGAGTCATACAAATAATGGCAATATTTTAAATACACAAGAATGACTTCATGCCTTTGGCAAAGCTCTCAGGGCAGCACTAGCTTGTTCTTGTACACTGGGATCTTGGACATCCAGTTGTAGAAAAATAGTTACAAAATATGTAAAAGTACACAAATAACCCATTGTAAGGTGGGTGTCTTAAACGAAACAGCAAAGCATGTCAAGGATCTAGCACTTTCTACACGCATGTGACAGCAAATTAAGGTGGGATTAGGGTTGGCATTCCAGAGTTTGCTGAAATCTTTTAAATGTTTTAAATTTAAGTTTTATAATAATATATGAAGTTCCATGTGTGACTACAAATAAACAGTGTGTACCTAAAACTACGAAGAAAAATGTGCAGAAAAATACTCTTTTATAAGCAAGTTAAAGAAATTAGTGGAATGGGTGTTATGTTATCCATTAGGACTTTCTAATGAATTAGAAGACGGAACTGTTATATATCCCTATATGGACCATGGTGTAATCTTTCTAAAATTTTTTAATCCATCATTTACTGAGAGCCTATAATGTCACTGGCACTATAAGTGCTTGATTCGGATAATCTCATTTAGTTTTTGTAACAATCTAGAAGGTAGGTTTTATTAATTTCCAAGTGCCTCCTTTTACTGATGACAAAATTAAGGCTTAGAGAAGTTAAGTAGCTTACTCATAGTTATGGAACCCAGAATACTGTCTATGAGCCAGGACTTATTACAGACTCCACACTGCCTTCTCCCTCTTTTAAGCCCTGCCAAAGATATGCAGATGAGTTTCTGACATCAGTCTTCTTCCTACCAGAGAACACTGAGCCCTTAGTTCATTCTGGCTTCCTTGAAATGAGAAAGGATTTCCCTGTTCCTAGTTTCCTTGGCAATATTCTCTTATCCTATTGGTCTCCAAGTAAAGTAACATATTCCTGATACATCTCCATAGATGTCCCCTCTCAATTCAGATGTGAACGCACCATGCTCGAAACACCATCACCACCCCGTTTCCACTCCTGTGCATGTCCAGTGAACCACCAAGACCAATCTGACCTTCTGCAGACATACCTCTCAGGGTCAGATCCTTCTTTTGTTCCTACTGGCACCACACTAATCCAGCTGTTAGTGATCCTCACTGATCCAGCCCTAACAGAATTTTGCTCATGTCTTTTTTTCTACTCAGAGTTCTTTAGAGTCTCCCCATGGCCAGCAGGATCAAATACCTCCTTCTGATAGTCAAGAGTCTCCTGAGGCCCACCCACAAGAACCCTGCCCAGCCAGCCAACTGGTATCCTCCTTGCCCTTTCAACTCCTCATTGGGGTAAATGCACTGTACCCCAAGTGAGCCTTCTTGGGTCTCACTTCTCTCAGAAAAATCCCTCTTCAGTCTGTGCATTCCTTTGGCTTCTGATGCCCACATGGAACTTGATAGTAATGGACTCACAGAGCTACACTTGGCTTTAGAGTTCATCTAGTTCAAACTTCACTTTCCAGATAAAGAAACTATGAGCAAAAGAAAGTGACTTGCCTGAGGTCACACAGGTAGTGGTCCCAGGTCAAGAACTCAGGCTCCTAAATATCAGTCTTTCTGTACAATTCCCTCTGCTATGAACATAAGGTCCATATTAAGGACTTGGTTTTTTGCAAAGTAAGGGCTTTTCTCTGGTCTAATCACTAGATACTCAATACCACTCCTTACCTGTGCATTTTTACTTTCTCCACCTTCCCTACAGACTTTCTAAATCAGGATTTCTCAGTGAGTGTCCCTTGGATCTCCAATCCAAAATTACCTGGTGATTCCTTGTTCAAATGCAGATTCCTCTCAAACCAATCAAATCAGAATATCTGGGGTTGTATCTTTGAATCCACATTTTCAAAAGCATCCCAGATTATTCTTAACCATGGAATATTTAAAACCACTGATAAAAATATACAGCCTATTTTTTTTAAATTATGGCTTTTCTCAAATGTGTCTACAAATTCACATTTACCATATGATAAGTCCTACTCTTTAGTGCTCGTAATATTAATATTGACTGAGTACCCAGTCTGTGCCAGGAGCCACACTTGGTACTTTTCACAGTTAATAAACATCATCATTGGCAGCAACTAGCACTGTTCTAAGAGTCTGCATGTCTTCAGAATAGCCCCGTGAAGTGGGTGCTGTACTTTTGCAAATGAGGAAACAGACTCAGCAAGGTTAAGTCCAAGAACACCCAGCTCATAAGTGGCAAAGTCTGGCCTTGAACTCAGGTCCAGCAACTCCAAAGTCCTTATTCTGCCTTCCAGTGGCAGACTCAACTGGGATTATGGCTCCCCTTTTCAAAGCCTGCGAGACTTTAAATGAAAGGAAGCGCCTAGAAGTTTGTGAAATGGTGTGGTCTTGGGTAGATACTGATTTCAACATTGCTGTGTTGACCCAGCATGGAACCTTGGCCAAATCTCTTGCAGAATATACTTTTATTGGCTCATAGTCTATACCTTATTTGTTTCCAATAGACACGTGAGTTGACTTAGACACACAGGTACCTCCAGGATTGGTAAAGGCAGAGAAGAGTAGCTTAGAAACTAAGCAGGAAGAAATAGGGCTGGGAGAAAGCACTTTACTAGGAACCAGGAAGAAAGGATTTTGATCACTGAGCAACACATTTAACAATAGAAATACATTGTGTTTGGCTGTGTCTAACAAATACATTCATTATCTTCGGAAAAGAACACTTTTCCAAATTACAAGCAATAATATTCTTTGGCAAAGAGATTACAAGGGCAATGCCTTTCCACCTTAGTGCTTTGGGGGGGCCATAGTAGGAGGTGCATATTTACCTGTGTGGTTAAGCACACATGTATCTACAGTGCAAGGCAACTGAAAACAATAGGCAAACATCCTGCCATGGACACGCCTCTATATTCCAGCATTTATCTACAGGAGGAAGCAGTGAGGGGGAGGAGTGTGCAGGGGGTCGGAATCAGGTCTGCTTTTGAACACTGGCTTTGCCATTCGTAGTTGTGATTTCTGAGTTCCATTCTCTGCTCTATTTTTCTTCACAGCACTTATCTCTACATGAAATAATATGTTCATTTGGTTAATATTTTTATTTCTGTCTCCTACACTAGAATGTAAGTTTCTTCAGGGCAGAAATTCTGCTGTGCCTGGCACTTAGTAGGTGCTCAATAGTCTTTGTTGGGTGAATAAATGAGTCACTCAACGTCTCTTGCAGGATTGTTATGCTTGTTGCATGCATAGAGCACTTGCTGTACCATATGTCTTCCAGCCTCGTGACAGAATTACTCCCAGTGTGTGCTCTCTATCTGAGCTGGGAGCTTCACGAAGGCATACACCATGTCTTTCTTGCAGACTGGCAGACCTGGAAGGAATCCTTAAGTTTATTCTACTTCAATCCACCCCCAATCCGTTTTACAGATATCAAACGGAGCCTCTTCTCACCCACAGTTAGGTTGCTTTCCCAATACACAGCTTCACTAACCCAAAGATGAGAGCCCAGGTCTCCTGACTTCATGCCCAGCATCGTTCCATGGCGAAGCTACACCAGTCACTGAGCCTGACTCAGTGCTCGTCCCTCCTGCCAATGTTCCAGACACATTTTGCTGAACAATTAAGTCAATTCCAGCTACACACCACTGGCACTTTCCTATGCTCCAGGAACTGTGCTAAAAGCTTTACAGGCATTATTTCATTTATTTTTCATACCACCCCTAGGACGTGGGTGTTTTTATTCCAACTTTTCAAACGAATAAAGCTGAGGCTCTGCAAGTTAAATACCTTGCTTTCCACACACAGCAGGTGCCAGGCCATGCTCTGAGCCCTGCTTCACCCCTGGTCATCACCAGCGACAGCTTGTGGCTCCCAGTCATCTTCTAGGTGCTTCATAAACAAAATTTTGCTCTCCAGGGCTCCCCAACCAGATCGCTGTCCCTAACTTCCTCCCAGGGTTGCGGGGGCCCGTGGCCAGCACCGCAGGAACTAAATGATGACAAAGTCAAGATCTGTCTCACCCCCACACCGTCCCTCTTCGACCCCAAGTCGTCCCGTCTCCCAGCATCACATACACTTTCAAAGGAAGTCTTCCTCTCAGGACTCCAAAAACGAAAGTCGGCGCAAAGGTCTGCAGTTTCCCTCGTTACACTAAAACATCAGCCGCCCTGCCCTCAGCCCCCTGCTCTCTAAGGCTCTCACCAGCCCTGCAGGTGGCAGGGGCCTGCGGAGGCCGCGTGTCGCCCTGGGCGGCGCAGGTCCCGAAGGGCAGAGCCCGGGGGACCTATCCTGCAGCCGTCCACCTCAAGGGAAAGGCGGCAGGCCCGGGCCCGGGACGCACCGCGGGCACTGTCCTGTCCCCAAGCCCCCTTAGGGCCCCCGCACTCCCAGCCCAGCGCTAACTGGCTCATTTTCCTCTCGGTTAACGTCCTTCCCCAGCTGAGGAGGCCTGAGACGCTCTTCGCGCCTCATCTTCTCCCAAAG